GTATGAAGGTAAAATTTGAGGTAGTGGAGTAGCTAATTAACTTGTCCAATTCATTTGTTATTAATTAGAGTTGTGCGCTCGATACAGTGATGATAGTAGATTCTGGGAAGGTCCAGGGTGTATCATCTGCCCTACCTAAATATGAGAGGAACCTCTAATATTTCCGGGCAATCGCGACAATTCGACACGTGATGCACGATAGCTAACGACACAGAGCATGCGTCACAATTTTCAAACCGTTCAGGAAATCCTAAGTGGATGTAATGTCGTAACACGCCGAGATATTTACTCTTTTCGGAGGCCGAAAACAAGGTGTAATATTCTAGGCACTTAATTCCGCTACTTTCGTTATCCCGATGAAACAGTGATGATGCGCAACAGGCGCTCCGTACCCATGTAACGTAAGGGTCTATTCTCAACTGGCGACGAGAAATAGCCAATTGCGGGTGCGGGTGTACTGGGCACATGCTACGCGGGATCGGATTCGCGGCTCATCGTGTGTGACCGAAATAGATTAAATAATAATTCCTTACCTTTTTTTGATGAAGTTCTGGGTGGCGATGACGAGTCGTGAGAGGATGAGTGCGGGCGGTTTCCAATTTCCCTAGTGTCTCAGCTCTGCCATTGGTTCTCCCGAGTCCGTGGTGATTGGATTGCGGTTTATTAACACGCGACCGAGTTTCATTAATTAAAGTGTTCGTATAATTCAACGCGACGGATTATGGAGAACAGGTTTTATTCAGAGATTTTACTCGGATTTAACAAACCACATAAATTTATTATTTGTAGTTTCGTACACGATCAAAGGTTACACATTTTGGCTTAATATTAAGGATGATTTACATTAACGCGGGAATTGAATTACGCTTAAAATTTAGAATTAGAATTACTCTAGAACTTGAGTGAAGAATTTGAAACGTGCACGCGACACGTGAGAGTTTAAGGTCAATGGCTTACATGTCCTCGGAGATACTCTAGATCCGGACTCGCGACTCTAAGGGTGAAATCACACGGTGCGGAAAAAGACTGCGGAATAGAGAATGCGTCATTGAAGCAACCAATCAGCACTATTCCGAATAGCGCTAAATAGCGCTGATTGGTTGCTTCAATGACGCATTCTCTATTCCGCAGTCTTTTTCCGCACCGTGTGATTTCACCCTAAGACTGTTACTTAACGACTGCCTTTATTCTAGTGCCCTGAGGGCAAATTTTAAGGGCGTCCCCTTCCATCGTTGCTCCGCTGAGGCACGCGTGGTGGGGAAGGCGTCAGGTACGGTCCTGGCGGTCTCATCTACTACGCCAATTTACAGGAAGCGAAAAGTTCGTTGTCTTTCTTTGGGTGGTTCTGGAACGGGTGGGGAATCTGAACGCAGCTTTGTATGTGTGCCATGAACTTAAACCATCAAGCCCATGGCACATAAAAAACGTAAGGCCGTAAGATATAATCAGTAAGCGAATTGGCCAATGACGATAGAGACCGTAAGGCCAGTAGCGAATCCAATGTTAAGCCCATGGTACATACAAAAACGTAAGGCCGTAATACGTAAGCAGTAAAGAAATCGTAAGATTGGATTCGCTACTGGCCTTACGGTCTCTATCGTCATTGGCCAATTCGCTTACTGATTACATTTTTGTATGTGCCATGGGCTTAAACTTCAAGTCTGAAGTCGTAAGAAATTAGGGAGTTTTTGCAATACCATTTATCTAGATATGGTGAACACAGGTCAGGTTATCTTCTTCTTAACAACTAATTAAGAAAAGGACAACGTGACTTTAGCGTTCACCATATCTGGATTAACGTTACTGCAAAAACTTTCTATTAACTAATCGCAATCGAATGTGAGAAAAATAATCGACTATGACAAGAAAATCAGAATTTAAGATTAAATGTAGAATTGTGAATTTCAGAATAACACAAATCTGACAAATATTGGTGCAATCTCAAATCAAGGATATTTTTGTTTAGGAATACAGAGGCATATTGTGTTCGTAACAGGGGGATACGTTTTGTCACAATTTGTAAAGAAGCTTGTTGATGATTTTCAAGCGGATCGTGATACTAAACTGAGAGATTACATTATACGACATCCAGAACTTTTTCCCGAGCCAGGTAACATGCTCTTCTCCATTCTTGGAAAGAAATAATTAAAGTATTAAATAAAAAAATAATCTTTTTGCTTGTACTGCCAAATGCATACGAGTATGTGTTTTGCAAGATTGAAAAGTAACGACTTACTTATGACGTCATTTATCACATCCGTTACTTTGTTAAGTAAAAGTCAATTTTTTTGTGTCTGTAACGGTAAAATGGAAATGTTACATTTTTACAATAATAAAATAATAACGAATTTAGCCATTACTTTTATTGTTATTTTTTAGTTTCTTATTTATACTTTTATAATATTCAGTTTATAAATCACATTTTATTTATTGTATAGATACATTTTATGAAATAGAAAAAGGATGGTTTCAATTTTCACTTTTTGTTGATCGTTTTATTTATACATTTTTTTATATATTATTCTTCATAGAAATCGAAAATTATTATAATTATGACGTTATACTTAAGGAAAAATTGGTATATTGAAATAAAGAAATAAAATCTTTATTCATATTGTTGTTACAATTAAACCTACTCTGAATTAGTTTTTAAATGATTAAAGCATATAACTGACAGTGATTTTATAAGGATGTGGATAAGGATTTTATTCTTTATTTTAATGTACCAATTTTTTTTTAAGTATTGAGTTATTATTGTGATAATTTTCAGTTTCAATGAAGAACAAAAATACATAAACTAACAAATAAAAACGAACAATTGCGAAAAGAGTTCTACCCTCCTTTAAATATTGAAAAATATTTGGTACTTTATATCTAAACTGCATTTTAGTAGTTACTATTAATACTGAAAGTAGTATATATATGTATACGTAAATATAGATTTTCAACATTGACAGTGAATAATAGCTATTGAAATACACTATTAACAACGACTTTAATATATAAAAACTAAGTTTAAAAAAAAATTTTGATAAAATTTGCATTTGTAAATTACAATCTGAATGCCTAAAGATAAGTATATTAAAGAATAAAAGTGTTAATACAAAGAATTAGAAGATTTATTAGAAAAGTTTAACCCTTCGTAGTCACCAGGGGTCTACAGGACCTCTAAAAAAGTTAGGCTTATATTTTAAAAAAAGTCATATTATACTAAATAAATATTCTTTTATACAATAACTTCACACTTTGTTATTTTCAAAAACAGGCTCTTATATTCTTCAGAATAAATGTCTTTTTTAGAACACGGGCTATTGCACTTTTTTCCTAAAGGTGTCATATTTGTAGAGTACCTATAATATAAATTTTTATCAAAAAATATAAAAATTGAAAAAGTTATGATATATTTTTTAAATAAAAAAAAACGCATTTTTCAAGAACTTTTATTTTGCGTTTTTTTTTTATATGTTAAAATTAAAATCTTTAAAATGCCATTGCATTTCCATGTTCCACAATAGTATGGCCAATAATTTTTGTGATTTTAAAGAACAAAAGTTGTAAATACGGCAATCCATTAAGTGTTGAAGTCATTTTGTTCCTGTATGACCTACATAAAATTCTCAAGAGATGTGACTACGATTAATTTAAGGAAAAGCTTGCCATATAGAGATTGTAATTTAAAATTGTAATATTTGTTATTAAACAATGTAATTTTTTTTAATGTCATATTTCTGTAGTATTACAAAAATGTAACGAAAACAGTACAAATCGTTGCTTTTAAATAACAATAATGCATTAACCCCAATAGAGAATAAAAGCCCAAAACTGGATCTTTAATGCTTTAAATAACTATGATATATGTAAATTTGTATATACTATACAGGGTGTCCCATTTCAACTTTCGCGTCGAAATATCTTGTAAAATATAAAAAATATGAGAAAATGTTTCCAATAAAAGTTTTATTACTTCGAGGTTCAGAATCCTGGATAATATTTGTCAAGATCAAAGCCATTGGAGATTCTTTTCATTTTTACATAGTAATGAATTTTAGTGCAAAAATGAAAATTAGAGGAACAACCTCCAATGATCTTAATCTTGACAAATGTTATCCAGGTCGTGATCCTGAACAACATTCAAAAGGTTTTAGCCATCGGTCGGACACCTTGGGTAATGATTATTGCCGGCGAAACTATAACATTCAAGACTTATAACTCGAAAAGTATTTCATGAAAAAATATTTTATTATAGCGTTTTGGAAAGCTCTCGAGGTGTGCCACAAGAATATGCAATAAAAAATTGGGGTTTCGATTTAAAAAATTCATGTTGACCCTGACCTGATCTTGGTAGTGCCCCTATCCAAAACCCGTTATGTCCACCTTCTTTGCCTAAGAAAACCTACAACTTTCATATAAAACTTTTTCTTATATCTCTTTTAGTTTCTGAGAGATATTCGCCTGGGGCTATTAAAATGCCCCACCCTGTATGTGAAAACAAATAATAGAGAATAAAGGCCCATAATGATCCAAGCTGGACTTTTAATGGCTTTGACCGTTATGGACCTTTATTCTCTATTGGTTATTTTCACATGTACAGTCCAATAATATTGTTGTTATTATTAATAATGCATTATTTTTCTTAAAAAACGGTAACGAATCGCTTTTTCCAAAAAGTAACATTAACAGTAATACGTTATTTTTAAAAGTAACGTTCCTAAAGCCTATTCTATAAAAGCATAAGCGTATTTGTAAGTAGTTGTAGTTGTAAGGATTGATCAGCCACACTTGAATTTGAGGAGAATATTCGACTGTGATTGTCAATTTTTATGACTACAATCACTTACATAACTTATTGTACTACAACCACTTATAACGCAATTGTAGAATGAACATAATCCTGGTATTTTATAATTAATACGTTCACCATCATGGTTGCCAATAACCGGCACTGAATTTTTTGTTTATTAATATTTTTCGCAATAAATTTATCTACAGTTTTTCAGCACGTTAATATCTTGTTAAAATGATGCCTGATTGTACATCGAAATTATTAAGAATTGCTTGTAAATTTAATTTAATTCGTGATATTATTCCAGTAGTTTAATTGCGTTTTATAAGTCCGGAAAACCGATTCGGCACACAGTTTGAAAGACTACAAATATGGTATATATACAAGTACATATATAGTATATACAGGGTAGCCCATGCAAAGTGTTACAAGCTAATAACTCTAAAAATATTTGTCCTATCAAAAAGTTGTTCATGAGAAAGTTTCATATATTCGAGGGGCCTTTCTAACTACATAAACAAAAATCCACCCCAGTTCGCCTTTGAAGAGGGGCGGAGGTAACTTCAAAGTTTCAAATGGGACCCTCTGTAAAATGTTACATATTTGGATTCTACGGGGAAAAACAAGTAAACTTTGTCTGAAACATTTCTTTGGAAAATATTTCTATCAAAAGTTATGAACATTTAAACTTTTAGCCATTTTATTCATGATTGAACTCCATTGACCCAAAGTTGTGTTCACGATACAAACGATGAAAACAAAAACGACTTTGATGTTAACCAAAAGAAACATAAATACACACATTTATCGGGAAACGTAAATACAGATCTACTATGTATTTAGTTAATTTTGAGCTGGTTTTCATGCTATCAAGTTCGAAAATCATTTTGACTCATTTTGACATGGAAGTTAATATGTTGTTAATTTTGGGAGAATGTGAGAAAAATTATCAACGTGCAGCGCAATTAGTTTTAGAACATTATAATATTAAAAAATCGCATATGGCATTTCTTCATTTAGAGAATTGGACTTCAATACAACGGATTTTGAAAAACAAACATTTCATTCGTATCGTTTAATTTTGACTCAGGAACTTTTGGAAACTTATTATGAACGTCGTGTAATATTTTGCGAGTGGATGGGTGATGCTATGATAAATGATTCATTTTTGCAAAATATTCTTTTTTCTGATGAAGCAACATTTATCAATACTGGACATCTTAATAGACATAATATGCACTATTGGTCATATGAGAATCCTCATTGGATGCGCGAGGTTCATTTCCAACATCGTTGGTCATTAAATGTATGGTGTGGAATAATTGGCGATTTCGTAATTGGACCATACTTGTTTGATGGTACTGTTAATACTGAATCTTATTGTAATCTATTAAGGAATCATCTTTCCTTACTTATAGAAAAATTATCACTTAATATGAGAAAAGACATGTGATTTCAACAAGATGGTGCACCTCCTCATTTTTCCAGAGTAACGCGTACTCTTTTAAATGAGATATTTCGTGACAGGTGGATAGATCGGGGAAGTCCTGTTCAATGGCCCCCTCGTTCATCTGATATTACACCTTTGGACTATATTTTATGAGGGTACATCAAAGAGGAGAAATCACATCTCAACCATTTTTGACGAAAGATGATTTAAAACGAAGAATACGTACAGCTTGCACTAAGGTGAATCCAGAAATGTTGTTTAGAGTTAGGCAAAGTTTTGTAAAAAGAATTAGTGTTTAGATGTTAATGGTCAACATTTAATAAAATAAAAAAAAACAAAAACTATGAGCCTTATTTAATTTATCATTAATTTCAATGCACTCTACATTAAAGTTTAAATGTTTATAACTTTTGATAGGAGCATTTTCCAAAGAAATGTTTCAGACAAAGTTTACTTATTTTTCCCCGTAGAATCCAAAAATGTTACATTTTACAGGGGGTCCCATTTGAAGCTTTGAAGTTACCCCCGCCCCTCTTCAAGGGGGTGGATTTTTGTTTACATAGTTAGAAAGGCCCCTCGAATATATGAAACTTCTCATGAACAATTTTTTGATAGGACAAATATTTTTAGAGCTATTAGCTTGTAACATTTTGCGTAGGCCACCCTGTATACAATTCACATTGAATTATTTAAGCATTAAAGATCTAGCTGCGACTGGTATAGACATTTTAATTCCTAGTATTGATTGTGTTCTCACATGATACGGTCTAAAATAAGATTTTTATTGTTTTTTGTTTATGCTTTGTTAACTACTAGTAATTGTTATGAGGCGACAGTCATATAAATACACTACCGCTCAAAAGTTTAGAATATCTTTATTTATTAACTTCGTAAATGTACAATATTTCATATTGTTTTAATCATATGTTTCATTCCAATAATGTAGGTTTAAAGATAAAAATTAACAATGATAAAAGATAGAAAGACTACGAGTCAATTTTGTTAAAACGTTTAATATTTAAAATGTGAAAATAATCATTATAAACTTAAAATTATAAACAAAAACGTTTCGACACCGATTGGGTCATTATCAATGTTCGCGAATATAGATGTTATATAAATTAATAATCCCGTAAAACACAATAAAATATAAAATAATAAAATTAATATAATTCGGTAAATTTTAAAATTAACAGTATAAAGATTATTTACCGTTTTCCATGAATTTGGTTGTTTCATACAGTCAATATGGTACATCCATGATGGTATCAATTACTGAGAAAAAATATTTTGAGTTTTGAAAATGTAAAATGGTATTTGTCATAAATCATTGTTTTGTTGATATTCTAGTGTGGTGTGTGAATTGACAATCAAGATTAAAAATTGATCAAATGTGAGTCAAATGGTGAAACGTAATAAAATTCATGGTCGATGGATAAAAAATAAGCAATATTGCGAGAAGTCGCTGTGTGGATCTTTTCTAGTCTGTGTCCAGAGACGTTATATGATAATAAACGTATATGATAATAAAACATGATATAAAAGATAAAAATTGATGTTTTCAGCATTATCATATTTGTAAAAATTAATGCAGTTTTGTCTAAAAAATTATAGAGTGCTCCAAACTTTTGAGTGGTAGCGTATACCATATTTTTATGTAAAATTGAAACGTTTGTTATTAATTTAATACTATAAATTAAGCCGAAAATTAATCAAAATTTTCATTGTTCTTTTTAATATAAAAGTTATCTTAACCCGGCTTTAACAAAAAGCCAGCTAAAATATGGTGAATATGTTAAAAGGAAAACCGTAGAGTGCACCAAATATCTGCTTATCATAATCTGACTTAAAATATTACATGGCTGCTCTTGTTTCTTTTTCCAGAACGTATAAAGTATAGCCAAGTGTTGGAGAAATGGATCCCAGTGCGTTAATTAATGAAAACTGTTAGAGATGATTGTACCATCTTGATTGCGTATCTCTTACAATGCAGACAGACAGTACAGTACAATGCAATGAATGTAGACATATTGTGTATATATTTTAAAATATATATCTATATATATAATACATAGTGTTTCAGCTAACAAAAACAACACACTGTTTTTATGAATTAAGATAAATAAGGAATGTTGTATGTAAGAAAAATTATTTCAAAATTGTTACTATCCTCTAAATAAAAGACAGATTTTTTTTTAGATTTTATGTAGCACCGCGAAACATTTTATTTTCTCTTTCAGATTGAGCAGTACACACTTAACATCAATAGATGCGAACTTTGTCGAGTAAGTACACTAAAACCTCGTAATAGCGTGCAGTTCGGAGGTCTGAACGTTATAACAAGATTGTCCCTACTTCACTCCAAAACAATAAAATTAAAAATTTTAGTGGCTACTACTATTCCCCACTCATGCTATTCATATCGCAGAAGGGATTTTTCATACTATTTCGAAGTTCACTATTACGAGATTCCAGTGTATATGTCGTATACGAAGATAGAAATATAAATTTACGTATACTGTATATTCTCGTATGTATATTTGAAATACAAATTAAAATTTTATGAAGTTTCTCCAATATTAAACAGTAAGATGCTTAATACGTGTATAATCGATAATAAGTCTATATCGCACACACATACAAAACATTTACTTTGATAACAACGAAACGCGAATCGTTTGCACTAAATTTAAATCTAACTCAAGTGACACTCCTATTTCTTTTCAGGATTGTAATTATCATTGTATAGCCCTGTACCCTTCGAGTCTCCCAACCAGGGATACTTGTTTGGACACTCTCTACACGTTTCCATATACCTGTTACAATTGATAAATATAGTTATGATTACTAAAATATTTAATTACTATTTCGTAATTTTATGTGTTATCGACAGTTGAATAAATTTTTACCTAGTCGTTGTGAAATTTGATTCGGGAGGCTTGAAGTCTAAAGCACATTTGTGTGGATTGTTACACGGTGGTCCGGGCAAATTCTCTTTTTTCTTACATGACCATCCTTCGAAGTTATGCAGAGCTTTAATCGATTTCGGATCGGTCATCCATGTTAACGCCTGCGTGGCGGTTACAAAGTAAACGTCAGGTCTGTAAAAATACAATGTTTATTTTCAAATATCGAGATTTTTGATAAATATATGTTTTATGTATTTTGACTCACAGCGTTACCACCCAATCGAGAAATTTCGATAGACCGCGTTCCAATTCCTTGATTTGAAACCAATTAGTATGGAAAGGCATCATGTATGGCGCTCTATTTTGTTCGTAATATCTGTTAAAATCCTCCTGTAACCAGTCAAACACCTCTTCGGGATCGTGATTGTGAAGAACACATTGATCTAAGTAAGGACAGTGTCCACCTTCATAACTCTCCACATAATGCGCATTCAAGGGTAACTCCCAAATGCCTATGATAATGCATAAACGTTTCTTTGAAATTACCATATCAAATATGCTTGTGTATTAATTGTATTAAATTATTAATAATTTTTTATACTCTTTTATTGCTATTCCAATTGAATAGATGAGACTAATGTCGGGATTCACATTCCGTTCTTATTTCAAGACTATCTTAAATGTCTTAAGATGTTAATATGGTTTTGTGATTATGACATCTTATGTACTTAAGACGGTCTTAAACAGGAGAATACCGATCTAAATCTTTGTCATGATTCTATTACCTTGGAACGATTTGGTGGGACAGGTGCCCGCTTTACATTCGTGCGGGATTTTATAGTCGAGGGTGTACGGCCAGATCGGTACTTTCAATGGCGAGATTCCTATGCTACTGTCGTATATGTATCCAAAGTCCTCGAGCACCTTATACTGAGTGTTGCGACCAGGTTTCAAGTAAGGCGCTCGCATACCGACGACTTCGCCGGTCGAAATATTGCTGAAATGCTTTAGTATCTCGCGCATTCCGATCATCTCGCCGACCCATTCCTCATAACCTTTATCCTCCAAGCCTTTTTGAAGTCTGAAAACATTTGTCTCGTCAGCGAAATGATCCTAATGCACCTCGAATATTTACACTACTCACGAGATCGTCTCAGTCGCAATCTCGTGACCGTCATGCGCTAGACTCTGAACCATATTGTAGTTGCAATATTCGTGAGAGATGAAGAACGTGCCCCTCAATGGGCAGTTGTTGGGATTCAAGCGATCTTGGGTGAATATCTTTTGATAGTGATCGAAGTTGTTGTGATTTATTGCACCATCGAACGTCATTATTATCATTTGCGGGGTCTGGAATTATTCGAATCGTTGTATTTATCTACATTTGAATAAATCGACAGATCATCGCGAGAATTCGTAGTCAAGTCGTTTTACCTCCTCTGGGTGAAGACCACCAGGAATTATCGTGCCGTCTCTGGAACAGAAGCAGTACGGAAGTAGACAGTCTGCCGTGTCACAGCGCTCTGCCAAATCCGTCGGTGGCTCAGTGATTGGTGCTGGCGCTGGAAATTAAAAGACATTCATTGTAAGAGGGTGCGAATGTTACGTTGGACTCGCTGGAAATTATATGCTTCGACGAATAAAGAAAGAAAACTAGAAATGGCGAATTTAAAAAGTAATTATATCATTAGAAAAATCACTTTTTGAAGACCTGCAGTTTCCTCTAAATCTTATTCCGTTCGTTTCACAAAATCAATTTAATTTAATTTAATTTGTGTAACATAAAAGTATCTACTTACTGGCCTCGATGGGTCCGCATCGTGCCTCGTTTTTGAAGGTACAAAACTTACTAATGTCATCGAAGTGCAGGCCCGATGGACATCGGTTCAAGTAGGGATATCCATCGACGCACTTTCGGAAAATAATAAAGAATATACAATTTGTATTATGAATGTACAATCACGATACAAATAATTATAGCGAAGATTAATCCAAAGCTGACCGTAACGAAATTAACAAGGTAATCAGAGCAATATGTAAAATATATAATTATGAATTATATGACCTGATAAACTAATAATTACTAAATTACCTGATAAAACCTCCTGCAAGTTGCCGGGTCGGCAAAATTACCATTACCTTGACCCTCCGGACACCTGAACTCCTCGTCTTTCTTGTCCTCATCCTTCTTATTCTTCTGACAATGTACTACAGAGAGCGATACAAGAAAGTTTAATATACAGGAGATAATGATTTTCCATTGATGCAGAAAATATGCACGAAAACTCTTCATATGCACATAAATACATCAGGAAAGGATTTCTCTCTCCTTTTTCCATCCTCTCATGAAAACAACGAAGCGTTTATCACAATTAACCGTAATCCTACGCGCAAGCCTACGCGGTAAAAAAATATTAAAATACTTTCATCTTTATATCGTGTTTGCGTAGATTATTCTTTTATTCATCCCAGGCAATTACGAAAGTCCAAATATTTTATTTAGTTATAGAGAGGAGAAGATCATGATCGCGTACGATCGTACAGATGATTTAATGCCTCGAAAGTCGATAAATGCTAAACCAGGAAAATGTCAAGGTTGGGGATCGCTTACTTGAGACACGTTTACGCCCGAGTGTATTTACGCTCTCATATTCCAAATGAGGTCGGCTGACTGCTGGCTATCAAGTGCCTACGTTCTACTTTTACTGCGTCCTTTCTGTCAAATGTTATTACGTTCCAAGCAGCATGATTACGCCTGACAGCGATGACAAAATGATGACTCTAATGAATGGACAGGCTGCAGTATAATTGTCTAGTAAATTAATAATGCATGCGATATACAGAATATTTTAGGAACAAGCATTTTCCCAAAAATTGCGAGAGTCTTTATATTTGCGATCTATGCCGACATATCGACTAATATTTGCTATTTTGTCATATATTCATATACACCGAACAAAGACGAGGATAATACGTCGCGTATGCACAGAGAGCCTCGGACGCGTGTCGAAAACATGGGCCGATGGGCGAGAGAAATTCCAGAAGAGAAGTTTGAGAAAGCGAGAAACGTGATTGCGGGCATTCCAATATGTTTGAGCATGTGTGTGTGTGCGCGCGGACGAGCGTTTATGCTCCTTTCGGTGAAACGCAAATGCGTTAAAAGCGTCTAAAAGGCGGAATTGCATTAAACTACAACAAATTTCCAGGCATTAACATATTTCAAAGCTCCGTCTCGCGCGCTTTCTTTTTTTCATCGTCTCTTATATTTAAATTGAAAATTTAGAACTGCTCATGGAAAATCTCCGTGAGGCATATAGATAAGTATATAGAGGCATATAGAGGCATACTGATAAGTAGTCGCGTAGAATGTCAAATTCGCCATTGATAGCGCATGAAATACCAGTGCGCTAGTAATATCTTCGACCCTTAATGTTAATTAATACGGATTCCGCGAATGGATGTAGATGATCTCTTAGGAGATTCTAAACTCGATCCTTACACATTGGTCCTGCGATACGTTTTACCATTATTTAGCTGTTCAGCCAAGCGTGCAATGCATCGATTTATGCAGAACGCTTGAAGAATCTCTGAATGCCGGAAGAGTTCTTTAGCTATTCCAGACGCGCCACCGTGACTACGTACGCAAGAGTTGCACAAGTTTTCGCGAAACTCATAACAGGCATGGTAAGTGTTTGAGTTAACATTATAATGTCTACAATTATGGAGCTTCGGTGCAGTCAAGGTTCTTATTTAAATATTTCACATACGTGGTATTTCTCTTAGTAATAAACTTAAGTTGGCATTGAATTATTATATAATGTAACTCAATATTGAAATTTGGATTAATTATAGAAACAGTGTGGACTAATTATAGGTACGTGTGGACGTGAGATATAATGAGAGAAACTGTACGACGCGCGATCGACATGGAGATACGAAGGTATTAAAAAATGGTTCGTAGCGCTCGCGAGAGAAAGTAACACCTATGGACACTTATATTCTTCCTAGTGACCTTATAATCATCATATGCATATTTTTATTCCTTTTGCTTATAATATTAGAATTAAATTAAAATAAGATTATATTATCCTAGAGAAATTTTTTTCTTAAAATTCTTCACATAATTTTTCAGAATTCCAATAAATTTTAGAATTTTCCAGAATTTTTCTATATAACTTTGTAACTATTTTTTCAAATTCTTTAGATCTTTTATACGAATTGAAACACTTTTTGGAAATGCTGAAAATGTCTACACCTTTTCTTTATATATGTGAATTCCGAAATTCTTAAGATTTTTCATTCTATAAATTTCAAAGAAAATTAACAAAATCTGAAGAAGTTTAAAAAATATTTTTTTTTCAGAAATCTTCTCTCTTCTCTTCTCTTCATAAATTTTAAATATGAAAATTCTTAAAAATATTATGGGATATAAGAATTTCTGTCATTTACCTAAGATATGTATGTCTTTTCGAATTTGATCTCGACGATTAGTGATTCCGATTAGTGATTTTTTTCATTAAACGATAAGACAAGATAATTATTCTGTGATCATATTCGCGAAGTAAGCCTCAATTGGCCTCAATCAAGATAATAAATCCTAATAAATGTCCTCGATGTGTATATAGAACATCGATCAGAAATTACACGTGAAACACCTGATATGTGTAACTCGATCGCTCGACGATTAAAAAGCCCAGCAATGCCACGGAATTGGTGACCTCACTTTCGCTAGATTTCCTGATACAATAACGGATGTCTGCATTATAAACGGGTGACTTGAAAGGAATGAGATATATTTAATTCATTACATAAGTTATATTATAGATTTCTATAATTTGCGAGGTCAGAGATTATCAGTGAACCTTTGAAATTCCTAATCAATCTCGTCTGACTTCCCTTACAGAAATCTAATATAGGCTGCGGTCCACTTGACACTACAAACGCTTCGAAGCGTTTGAGCGACCAATCAGAACAAAGAATTTTACGAATTGACTAATCAAAGAATGCTTCGAAGCGTTTGTAGCGTCAAGTGGACCGCAGCCTTAATATTTGCTAATAATTTAATACTGAAAGGTAGTAATTAATTATTACTTATTTTAAGTATTAAAAGCACTGAATACAACGGTACTTACTCTCTGTATAATTTCTATATTTGAATTTTAAAAGCATTGACCGTTTTAATACTCAAAATAAGTAATTAATCACTACCTTCCAGTATTAAATTTTTGTAGGATTTGATAAAACATTCGCAATGAACTTCCCTTCAAAATCTATTTCTATTTCTTTTCCAGGCAGGACTACTGTAGGCGGTGAGAATGAAGACAGGACGCGGTGCAACCGCAACTCGTTGAGAGATACTTGCGTTCGCGGATGTCAAAGAGCTAAGGTCCGTTTAGCGGTAAAGTGGAAAGTGAAGGTATACCAACACATTGACAATGACGTTGCATTCACGACGTGTTCTTTCATTCTCTCCCAAGGTACAACATTTCCTTCTATCGTCCGGACGCACGCACACGTGCGATGACACGTGTGTGCACTCTTTCGCTCACATAGATACATACATATATACCCCATATGCGCGTGAAATAAATCTTATGTAAACGCGAGTGAAACCACCGACGTATCGAATTTGATCGGCGCATCCATGTCGTTTCTGGATTTCTACGTTTTATTCTTTTTTTTCGTTCTACTCTATGGACTGACTGAAAAATTTGGCTCACCGGTTCATAGATTCTTATCGTAGATAAAAGTCGAAGAATTTTCTAAATATATCAATTAATGAGACTATAAAACCACGTCTGATTAGATATTCTTCAATTAGACGAGTATCATTCATATATTTGCACGTTTATTTCTGTGATAAAGTATATACAAGTATCCGGAGACACGGTCTCGGTGTTAAGCCAAGCGCAGCGACATAGAATATACGATATAAAAGCGAGCTGTGCAATTATTTATTGGATATCGTTATAATTAAACATTTCCTTGTTCACACATGATACTATGGATAAAAATAACGGCTATGAAGAGAAACGCAAGGAAAATAAGAAACAAGAAAAGGATACGCTACCGAAGAACATATAAATTCCGCGAGAGAAGGCCGGATATCAGCAAAAAAAAAACGAAATTAACGTCAATAACGACCTGTTAGAACTGGTCAGACACAGTTCCGAGGAGCAGCGAGACTGCATAATTCAAAATGTCGAGTACACACACACACACACACACACACACACACACACACAC